ATATATGACTAGTTGACATAACAACTCATGTTTGTTGGCAAATTATAATGATGATAATCTTTATTACTATTATATAATATTACATAATCTTACACAATGGATTACATAACCATTATATAACGTTATTTTTGCAAATAGGGCTAAGAACCGTGGGAGGTGGTGGGGAATGGGTGGCAACTGAAAAGTTGTAAGTAAGCTTGAGAATAATTTTGATAGCTGACGGATCAGCTATAGCTAGTCAATTAAAATCCAAGTAGATGCTGTATGGCATTATTTTTGCTTCTTTATTCATTAAATTCAAATATATTCGATATATGAAACATTTATATTCGCTAAATCATTTTTCCATTCGGTAAAAACATTTATATGTTTGTTACAGCAAATTAAGTTTTCAAAATAGCCAATCACTTAAAACCATGTGCATTAAATTACATATTTCATTCGTTAAATGATATTTTTTGCGTAAATTGTTATGGTATTCCTTAAGAGCAACACATTATATGCACAATATTGAATTTCTATTTGAACCCTACCGAAATAAGTTTGCCTATATTTACCAAATGGTTTATTTTTCTATGACATAGTTAATGCATTTTACCGAAAGCTAATTTGCTATTTACCGAATGCAATAAAGTAATATTCGATAACTTGCGTTGTTGTTCGATATTTTGTCACGTGACTTCGAGATTTGCAAAATGGCCGCGCAGCTATTCTACATCGTACAAATATATCACGTGGCTGAAAGTCTCGTAAATTATCGAAAAATAACGAAATTTATCGAATGTGGCATTCGGTATTTACCGAATATAAATAATTTAAATACCGAATGTACAAATAATTAATTGAATTATACGTGCGTTAAGGAAAACAAATTGATTCGCTGCATCACACAAATACATGTGTAAATATCAAATGTGAATGTCAATACAAAGAACAAGTGAAACTATTTAGCGAATATAAATTGTATAGATTATTACATTTGATAAAATAAAATAAAAAATTCGATAGATTGGGTAAAGGTTTGGTAAATTGTTTGTTTTATTTGGTATTTATGGAATATTAATGTACCGAATAAAGAAGCAGTTTAAACACCATAATGCTGGCCTAGCTAATGAGTAGCCTATGACTGACAGGTCGATTTTGAAACTACATTCTCACTACATAAAACACTTAATTACATTAATTACATTTATGTAGCTGGATCATTCTGGTTTCCTTGGCACTCAGGGTTAGGCAAAAATATATGACTAGTTGACATAACAACTCATGTTTGTTGGCAAATTATAATGATGATAATCTTTATTACTATTATATAATATTACATAATCTTACACAATGGATTACGTAACCATTATGTAACGTTATTTTTGCAAATAGGGCTAAGAACCGGCCACTAGCAAGAGAATCGTGCTAGCCCACCGTAACTTTTTTGTAACTCACAACAACAACAACCTGTGAAATTAAAAATGGCGGAATTTAATACAGTTACTAGTATCCCAATCCTCATACTCGTTTCCCAGTTTGATTTTCAATGAACACATCATACCTTCGAAATCCAAGATGCCCATCTTTGCATTAAATGAAATTTTGCACGCCGAATTTTTGACAAATTTCCACCTTTGAAACGTTCACTTTTGGTAGACGAAATATACTATAACACAGTAAACCTATTGTGTATTAGGATTTGAGCTTGCTGTTTCGAAAATGTATATTCTCCCTCGAAATCTTAATTTTCATGTGCATAGATATTCTATTTGTAGAAAGACAATATTAAATTGGGTTGATCAACATTTTTATTCAAAAGTAACAAAATGTGTTATAATATGAAATAAAACTAATAACAATAATTAAAATTAAAATATACACAATTATAATTAAAATATGCATTTGATTTGTGTGGTGAACATGCAAGGGAATGGAATACGGCCAACTTGAAATTATGAAACTGATTAGGGTAATCAATTTCATCAATTTTCTATAGTATAACATATACATATAATATCATATCATATACTATGTTCTCTTTTGTATCATGGATTTTTGTTGATTAAACTCAAAAATCGGCATAATGATAAAAACATCCAACCGTCATATAACACCACCCAAAAATAGTTTGAATGTTGTCGGTGATGTTTTTAGCACAGGAGATAGAAATCAGAAATAAGTTTGTTCATTCTTAGGCAGGTGACAATTTCTGAAAAAAGGCCTAATAAACAAAAATGCTGCACTCCCCGTACAACTCTTCATGTTTGGTACCAAATGAAAGCTAGAAATGTGTAGAAATAGGATATATATGTTGTGGATCTGGTTTGTGTGACATAAGGACATGAATTATGCATTGAATTACAAAGCTGTCAATTTCATTTTTCATTTCCTGAGCTGCTGAATGAACATTTAAGTTACTTTGGTTGATATGGATGCGTTTATTTAATGTAATTCACTGACAATTATTCATATTCCTCATGATACAATCTTTTATAAAAATAATTTGTATCTGATGCACTAGCAATAACGATAACATCATCAAAATATATCACAGGTTTTACAAGACCTGCTGGTTGAATACAGGTTTATTAAAAGCCAATACGAAATGAATAATTCAACAGATAATGATGATGTATATACTTTATTTCATTTTCAGATTCAAGCTTTTAGAGCGCATTGTCAGAAACCTGCGTTTAAAAGTTAGATGATTCAGAATTTTCAGTCCCATCGTGTTTGTCTCTGCAAAAAGGAATATAACTTAGATAATGATATTTTGAGCTCCATATTTTACACGCTTCATTATAGTTTGGTATGAACTGCTTTCATTTACACATAAATGTCGTTTTATATGTGCCCAAGTGGATTCTAAATAATATTCTTTCAAATATGCCAAGTGTGTTTCTGCCAATCAGCTTAGAGTGTTTAAATGCATTAATTCAAGGTTAATGGTCAGCAGAGCAGAAACATCATTTTACAACTGCATTAAATGATTTCATAATGAACCGAGCAGTGCCATTATTTGGGGAGAGTGACGTCATTACAGTGCATTATGGTTCCATAAAGAACTGGACAATGTCATTTTTTCATAAAAGAGTGATAATATATTTGAGCTGCGATAAAGAACTTTGAATCATTCTTTATTGGATTTAAAAGCATTCATGCATGAACAAACCCATACTAATAATGTACACAGGCTCCACCCTCGTACATTTTGTGTACGTTATAGAGCATGCACTTATGCTATTTAAATTTCCAATAAAGAGATACAAGATTCTTTATACCTTAAATAAGCATCATTTGCGATGTCCAAAGTACATGCGAGAACCTTATATTGAGACAGAGGGATCAATGGCACATACGCACAAATCATAAATTATGAACGAAGGAATTGTTACAGCGTTTGTAGCACATACTGTAACAAAAAGTTTTAATTTGGAGTTGTCTCATTCATAGTTAATGATAATTGTATGATAGAGATAGGCAATAAATTAAAAGAGGAACCTAATTATCACCGTCGTACTCTCAATGCAAACTATGTCAACTACATTTACAATATATCTCGTCCATTTACTAGTAAGTGTAAATAAACAATATTCATTCCATTCACATCTTAGTTTTTTCCAAAATATGAAACGTCATTCTCAACATATCATTGCAGGAAATTTTAAATAGATGCAAATGATGCTTTGTGAACGTTACAATCTACGTAAACATACGTACTGCCCATATTGAGGAGCCCTAAAACACCAATCAACCAAGCAAACAAACAAACAATAAACATACAAACAAACAATCAATTCCTACTTCTCGGCAAACTATGTTACTCCACTAAACTGTCCAGACTATGAAATATTGACAGAGTAGAGTTAATGACTTTGTGACTAGGAATGCAGATTATACCGTGGTTTATGAATGATTTTAAAAGGATTTCACGCCGTTTTAACATCAGGGTAGAAAGGTTCTCAATAAACGGGTAATGTAACCGGAAGAAAACATTTATCAACGCAATCAAATTACAAATGATAAATATCTGGTAAAAAGCAAAGCATATCTATTAATCACGGAGGGAATTTGCAAAAGAAGACTTGGATTCTGACAGAGGCATTTTCTTTACATCTTACGCCTGCTTAGGAGTATATCTTGTATATATTGTCCCTCTAGAGGCTCCTTTAGAAGAAATGTGGGGGTATTTATATTAGAAGAAATGTTGCCCAGGGTATTTGAGTGAGGACGCAATATCTTTACTCTACACTTTTTAACTATAACTATGGGGTCAGATTTTTCAGAGAAGGTACTCAACAGAGGTATGTTACTGCGCGACTATGGTGTGGTAACACTAATCCCACTCAGTTCTAGATACTTTGCAGGGTTTTTATATGTAAACATGAGTCTGAAGTTTCATCCATAAGAGGTGATATCTAAATGATAATATTGAAATAATGTCTATCGTGATAGCATCCATCGCTCGCGCAGAGATCTGGCAATGATACAATACCTTGGGACCTAAAACAATAATAGAGAACTTATTGCTATGAGATATATAATGATTTCAAGCCAAATTGATTCATTTCCATCTGGCATTTGACGCTGACAAGTGGATGTTGTACAGAACAGCGTGTATCAGAGCAGAACTAAGCAAAAGTACTTCATCGTAAATGTTAGTCTGTCGATATGTCGTGTCAATCACTCCTCCATGTATTAACGCTCTGGATGGCTTGTTTTTAAAGACGGGGGTGGTGTTGCAGCTCGTGACTATCAAAATGAATAGCACACTGTCAGACTGGTGAATTGGTACATGGAGGATAGCGGAAGATATTACGCTGATGGTAAAGGTATAAGGTCGGCATTATCAATCAAACAAAGACCATGCTGAATTAACTAGATTGTCCCAGGCATTTTATAATATAGAGATCTTGCGGAATTTCGGAGCACATCTGTACGAGTTCGCTTTGGGTATTACGTCAAACGGTGGAATAAATCATCTTATTAACTCATAATTGTACAGAGAAACTTGCTACAAAGCAATTGTCAAAATTACAACAGATATGGATGTATATTAGATGCTGGTTATTATGTTTGTAAATGAATTTGATAGGATATTTGATAATCTGGCGGTTTTATAGACATAAGTCAATATACGGATCTCTCATGATACACAGTAGCTTCATTCCATGAACGATTCGACATCGTACTCTCGTAGATGAGAATCGGTTACGGAGTTTTTAGACACCGAACGCCGTTTATACCACAGTAATTCCATGTACATCATTTGGAGTAAGTAGTTACGAAACAGAGGATTCCAGGCCAGAGAAATAACCGCAAGTCACGATATAGGAAATTAATTAGTGTCAAAAGACGAAAACTGGAGTTTTGATCGACATTTCGATCATTATTTAACGGACAGGGATTCAAGGGCAGTCGACAGATATCATATGGTTGGCTTATCATATGCAATTTATAGAGTAATTACTCCATTGAGTGGAAAAGCTGACCCGGGAAATTGAGAGAATTGAGTTTGGGGAGGACGTCAAATCACAAATGCAGAGATCAATAGACCAGAATTCAAGCAGGACTTGAGAGTAATTGAGAATCGTGAGTTTCGTGAGTTATGTATCAATATATACCCTTTGACTAAATCATATCGGATTTAACAACTATCAAGCATTGTTCTCGGAATACTTCATTCTTCAATTAAATTTAGCACAATCGGTACAGTAGGGTATGCAGTATAAGGCAAAGCTTTCTTACAGATGACGGTTGTGGTGTTGAGTTGGAGCAGCTGATTTTTCACATGCCACACGTAAATAACAGTCGGACGTAGAAATACCACATTAGGGTGTCATAGAACAATGGAATGGATCGTTTATGTCAGTACAGTACCATCATTTTTGCTGGAAACATCACTGTACTTCTTATCGTTGCAATCTCCACAGATTATTGGGAACACAGATACTTCGATTTTAGCATAATCAACGAAACTGTTTCAAAACAACGACAGATTAAAGCTGATAATAAAACTATGTTGCTCCAACCAAGAGACACCCGTTCGTACTTTTATATCAACTATTCCAGAGTAAGACTCCACCACCCAACAACGGGGTTAGAAAATGGTTCAACTTATGAGCCCCCCGCGTATATGACCAAAGTGGTCGTTGACTGTGATGCCCCCACAACTGAGGCTCCTCAAGTCGTGTTCCCCATAAGGACCACCCATGCTACAATTCTGAATGGAACTAACGTTACCGCACCAGAGCCTCAATGGAGAAATGAAACAGGCTCTATATATTTCTTTTCCCAGTATGGTAATCTGTTCAGAGACTGTGACGACCTTGAAGGTATGGTATGCTTTCATTATCATGTAGATATCTTCGGAATAATATCATTCTTGGTGCGGGACTATAATGGGGAGGGGTTTATCGAGTGTGTGTCTTCGTATCGGTTATATGTACTTGTGACAGGCCCCCTCCTATATTCGTCATGGCTGTCTAAACTACCCCAATTACCCATTCAGTAGTATAGTCTTGCTTCAAGACCCTGCCCCTATCTACTTTATGAAACAATGCGTTCTGTTGGTGAAGTAAATGAAAGAAGGGAGAGGGGGAGTGGGCAGATTCCTGAAGCAATGTTTATCAATAGTTATAAACATCTTATAATTTTCCTTATTGAGGTCCCAGTTTTGTGAAGTGAAACAACAATTTCTGAAATGGTAAAATCATGAAAGTGAATGGTTTGTTTTAAATGATATTCACGATCTTATCCTTGCATTCAGGCCCTTTTTTATTTTGACAATGTAAATTTCACCAACAATAATACTACAACAATGAAAATAGCATCTGAGAGACAATTGAATTTCAATAATCTGAATACACGATATTTTAAAAATTGGAGTTCGATTTTGGGTAGCGTCCATAATTGCAATATTTATGGAACACTCTATTATTCTGGGTATTATCCATTCTGATACTCATAGCATCTTTCTGTTTCACCTGAAAGGGCTGAGAAGAAATGAGATGTCATGGTATATCATGATGGGTATTATCATATTTTTCGACCACCCATCGATGTATATTACCAACTGCATGTATCTAATATTATATCACCTCACATTATACCACACACGCTTTCTCCTTAATCTAGCTAGGCACCATCAATATATTTGGTTAAGATAGAAGATTTTTGTATTCATATTACTTTTGTGTAAATGTTTCGACTATTTTGAGATGGTAATCCAGCATGGGTAATCAGCTTGGAATTACCATAGTCGAGGGACTAGTAATGCAACATTAGGCGGGAATTGCTCGTGCAGCTTGAAATGTCGTCTGCATGAAAGATTATTTCCGAATATTCCCTCCTAAACCATCTTGGACTACCAAGGTATGACGTTTTCATGATTGGAAATCAAACTGGTATTACCGTATTAGCGAGTATGTCCTAAACTGAATTACCCAAGTACTTTGGTTCGATTGGGTTTATGTTTTACAGTTCGATTCTAAGCAAGTGCAGATCAGTTTCAATCTGTGCTATCAAGTAAATCTTAATATTTTCATTTTTGCGAACATGCATTCGAATCGTGCATGGTTATTAATTACTTCAAAAAAGGAGAACATGCGCATGCTTCATGCATCATTTTACTTATAAAGGGAAGCCTCCGTTCTGTTCATTCACAATGTTTACAATTTTTTGAAGTAAAAGTGTGATCGCTTAGTTCGTAATAAGGTCTAGACTAAGATCCTTTAGATAGAATAGCTTTGAGAGCAGACTAGGGGTGATCATAGGCTTACTTACAAGTGTGTTATGATCGACAAGACAAGTTTATCTCTTTTATAAACACTCGCTTATATCCAGAGAGGGGCATCTAAACTCTCTGTTTGAGAGATAATCTTTTGATCTAGCCTCAATCGTTCGAACTATAAGGTCAATCAAAACTAATTAACTGTAATGAATCTATATTCAAACTAAGCGTAATATGTTAATAACTGTTAAAATAAGTGTTAAAAACAAAAACAAAACAAAATGTTGAGATATACAACAATAAGCTTGATATTGCAAGGCCAGTTATGGCAACTTTTGGGGCTATAAGCTCAGGTTTTCATTGCAAGTCAGAGTGCTGTTATTCCCAAGAGTCCCTATGCCTCAGGGTAAACCAGGCTTCTATTTTGAATACTGGCCCGAGAAAATTATTGTTTTGGCTGGCTAAGTATAAATTAGAAGGAAGAATATTGATAATCACTTTATTTTTATATTTTTCCAAACAACAATTTTAACTTTATATGTAAATTATTAATGTTATAAGTCTATTCTAATACAGTATATTGCCTCGCCTACTTCAATTTACATAGCTTATTTTTCAATTCTGGCTATGTTTCTGGAAAAATTCATTCATATATGGTTATAGCTACCATATGAGGAGAGAGATGGTTTGGCAAGGAATATTCCTTTAAGTAAGATTAACCAGATTATTAATGTGTTCCTTTTTGTAATAGACTAGATGAAGTATTTGCTGTTTTTTGTGGACCAGCATCGTTTCTATAACAATGGTAGAGTGTATTGAATTGAATATCTACATGCATTTGTAATATTAACGATTATGCTGTTTGAACTCAGTGTTGCGCATAACCTGCATGCCATCGTATCTCTATTATATTTAACGATGGAAGAGCAACATCTGCTCACATTCAGCCCTATCTACATACACTCTTGTCATGAAAATTCATGTTATATTAACTCGTCCACGTCAAGGAGGATTGGCTCCCAGAATGCAAATCCAAATATTCGCCATATATGGTCATGTCATGATTACAAAATTCGAATTCAAACAACCGCAATTATGTTCACTTCAACATTTGAATCGTGAATTTTGGTCTTATTTCCAAACGAAAAATTAACAAGAAATAATTGAGATATTGGTTCGAATCTTTTAGACTGCTAATTTTGAATTTATAGTCGGTTATAATTTAAAAAATAACGACGTTTTCATTGTTGGAAAATATCGAGTTTCGACCCTGGGAGCCAATCCTCCTTGAGTACACGTTGATAATTCACTTTTTCAATATCATCACAAGATAGCAAGTAGACAAAAATGCTAGAACAAAAAAATTGAATCGGTATTTTTTATATTCGACATCTTGTAAACTCCTATATACATCAAATATGTACATATACTGTACTATAGTATTACATCGACAAGGAGTCACTCTTAATTTTTGCTCAAATTCCTCTTTTTATGAAGAATGATGCTTTCCATTGAGATGATAGATATTTACTGTCAGAATTGCAATGAACCTGAAAATTGTATTGGACCAAAGTTGCAAGTTCATTATAAAACACTATTTATGAGAAGCAGAACCCTTACAGGCGATGTTTAGTTGGTGTAGAATTCGTGGAGTAATGAATTGCGTTGCGTTTATAGATTGGTGTATACGAATTGCCTAAAATGTATTAATCTCTGGAGAATTTTCCATTAAAATTAAAAGACAGAGCTTGGTTATTTAGCATACTAGGCTGTACCATGTTTTTTCCTGCCACATCATTTTGTTGTTTCTACCAATTCAACTTGAGATTTCTTTCATTTTTCAATACATTAAGTTAATCAAAATAAACTGCACATTAATTGGTTAAATTTAGCTACTGACTAATTTAAGTAATTGCATTACGAGGACAAACACAAAGCTTAAAGCGAGGGAAGTGTAACCACCCGCTAATTTCTTAAATGCATACACGTATAACATATATGTTTGGTATATTTGTTCAGCTTATTGATACTGTTGATATTGCTAAGGGAGGCTTTTTACAAAATAATTGCCGGTTTGTTATTCAAGAATAACCTAATGATTTAGAACAGTAAAACAATGCCTTATCGCTTTTCCAATAATATCCAGCTGTGTATATCTAAGAAACCATTTTTATCAGCAGATATAAGGCACTCATGCCCTGTTAAAATGTATATCTATTTATGATTCCAATGTTAGAGTTTTTCCTTAATTCTTTATTGATATGACTGTTTTTCTTCCATAGCGACAGAATCTAAAAATTCAACTCCATTTTGTTTACTTTATTTCTTGATTATGTCAATATTCCATCTGCTGGTTGAGTTCGAGGCATAGAAACCCCGAGTTTATTCCTGTGGGAGGGTATAGCTTAGATAATGGCATTATAGCATGCTCTCTTACTATTTTGGTTTCATGAAACATGCAAATATCCCGACTGGAAGTGACTTGACACCGCCTGCGTGCTGGTGAATACATTACGTCACTTTCAATTCATCAATTTCATCAATTTTCGCATCCATATATTCGATTTAGTTTTACTTATGCGGCCATTTTTTCCAATCACGTGACTGAATAATGTCACTTGTCCAATCGAGTTGCTTGATTTGCTGAATATAACTAGCATTTCGGGACCTTGCACAATCAAACGTCTAATTTCATTTTCGTGTAATTTTCAAAATGAATGTAGATTGCTCACAACTTTTACATTATTGTTCATTATTTCTCAATTCTGAGTGTCAGATTTACACGGAATGCTGATTAAGATTTCATATCTAGAGGTTCACAGTCACTATAACCTCGGGTACTCCTGAACCACCATGAGAAATCACGGCCTTCTATGAGTTCTCTCCAGTTGAAAAATAGAAATATGTAGTGAGTATCAGAATACTCCTGAACAGATATGGATAAATAGTACACTTTCTAGATTTTTATAGGCGGATTTCCTTTTTTGTTAGTGAATAGAAAGTAGAAACTTTGTTGAAATATAGACATATGGACAACTCTTTTATACCACCTTCACAAAATCAGAGCTGTCAATGGATGATTGAAATATATGGTACCGTTGGAAAGCATGTTAAAACATTTAAGGATATGTCTTGAGGGATAACATAAATGAAAGTAACCCCACCTATTTGACTTTATATTAGAAATCGCTACTAAATAAGTTACTGATAAGTTAGCAACAAAAGGATCGGAATGGACATCATAAAAATTCAATTAAAATGACATTGCACTTCAGTATAGATCTATTTTATAATGAAATATATCTAATAATGGTCTGTAGAGATTTGGAAATGTTTTGCTTTTTGTTTATTTTCTCCTTGTGCTTCCCTTTGCCATGAATTGTAAATCAATTGTACAACAAAGGTTGATGATGTTTTCAGCCCAAATATGATACTGTTGAATTTCCGAACGTTACTCTTGAACAGTTTGTTTAGAAAACCGGTTAACACATATCAATCAGTATCAGTAATATCAGAAAAATAATAATGATTAGCCTAGCTATTGTTCCTCAAATGATATTAATCCTGATTGAAATTCCAGAAGATTTAAGGACAATTAAAGTA